TAAGAAGCTGGGCGGTCAGACAACTCGCAAGTACCGAGTCGTCGTGCACATGCTAAAAGTCAGAGCTCTAGACACCAACGGGTTCGCGGTTTCTCTGATAGAGCGCGGCTGCTTGGTTCGTCATAGTGCCTACAGGATTCACTAGTGGCGCAGCGCTCTGCTACCAAGCTCATGATAGAGTCATCGCGCACACGCGGTTTTTTGGTCATAACTTTTCTTTTTTTTTTTTTTTTTTTTTTTTTTTTTTTTTTTTTTTTTTTTTTTTTTTTTTTTTTACCAGTGCGCGGCAACAAATAACTTTTTGGCAATAGAATAAGTATACGCAACTCACTTCTTATGCTGGATAAAGTTGGTATAACCTCTTCTTTTTACGATTGAGGTATGAAAAGATTCAGTCGGCTTAAAATTGTTTTAGTTTTCTCAATTTCCATTTATTTATCAGCTCATTGACGTTGNGACGTTTCAACAGGAAAATCTATTTCTAGGGGGCGTGCGTAAGGAGAATCCAAAACTTGCCACAAAAAGGATTTCATTTATACCTTACAACGATTAACCTAGGTGGAGAGTTTTGCCGAAATAATTTTGGTGACGACTAACTATTTTTGGTTGGAGTTGAACACGTAAGCCCGGATGGATCCGAGACTCGCAACTAAGATGGATGTAAACATATCTTAGGATGAATAAACTTTAAGTGAAGAATTTTTGCTTAAAAAGGGGCTTTATGAGAGACTAGCTATTTTTGGTTAAGAAAGAACACATAAGTCCGGATGGATCCGAGACTCGCAACTAAGATGGATGCAAGCATATCTTAGGGTATATAAATTTTTAAAGTTGGATTTTTTTTTTTTTTTTTTTTTTTTTTTTTTTTTTTTTTTTTNTTTTTTTTTTTCAAATTGATTTTCATTTTTGCCAGAGAGAATTTTGAAGAAGAATGAATTTTTATTTAAACTGGAGCGCATAAGCCCGGACGAATTTGCGGCTCGCAACTAAGATGAACTTTACGTATCTTAGGATATTGAAAAGGGAATTTTTTCGCTAAATTGAAATGGAATGAGTCCGGACGACTTCGAGACTCAAAGGCTTGTACCGTATTTTAGGATTTATATTAAAGATTTTTTGCGTGGACGTTGCCACGTAGCTGATCGGTGCCCCTGAGAAGGGATTTTTTTTTTTTTTTTTTTTTTTTTTTTTTTTTTTTTTTTTTTTTTTTTTNTTTTTTTTTTTTTTTTTTTTTTTTTTTTTTTTTTAGGAGCTTGGTTATCTGGTGGCCCTGAAAAGGGCCATTTTAAACGTTGAGTGATCAGTTAAGCTGACGTGATTGATTGAGTGACAAACGTTGAGTGATTAGTTTTGGTCGAGCGATTTTTTTTTTTTTTTTTTTTTTTTTTTTTTTTTTTTTTTTTTTTTTTTTTNTTTTTTTTTTTTTTTTTTCTTTTTTCTTTTTGTTAGATTCGTAAGAATGAGATCTTATAAGTTTTAAGATTCCGGTGCTCGAGGGTCGGTGTCGAGCCATCGCCGCAGCTTGAGTTTCCCGCGGTCTAGCAAGGCGGTTAGCTCTTGGCGCAACTGGAGGGTGTCTGTGACACGACTGATCCCCGCTGCGTCATCGACATAGTTTTCTTCCATGAGCATTTCGTAAGTGCTCGGAAACTGTTCTTGAAGCTGGGCGGCTAATTTGTTGAACGCGCAAGCCGTCAAGAAGTTGGAGTTTGCGATTCCGAAAGAGACGTTGGTGTACTGATACAGCCGGAGAGGTTTTTCGTTGAATCTCCAGAGTATTAACCGGTATTGGTGATCATCAGGATGAAGGGCGACTTGTAGATTCATTTGCCTGAGATCGTATGAAAACATTAGGTTGTGACGACGAGAGTTCAGGATGATCTCCCGGCCGTCTTTCAGAGTGTTCGGTTTGATATGGAACACGTTGTTCAGCGAAGGGCCACTTGCAGTCTCACAATTAGCACGGGCATTGCTTATAATTCGGATTTTACCGGTGGGTGAAATCACGGTCGAGTGAGGCATTATGCAGTTGGCGCGGTGCAAAACATCGGCAGTTGCTAGGGCCAGCTGCCCTGCACCTAAATAGCTTTGAGTTAATCTGACATATTTTTCTTTCAGCTCAGGTGTAGACTTGAACTGAGTCTCTAAGATTTTGAGACGTATGAGAATCTGAGGTGATGAGGCCTCAACCACTTCTAGAGCTTTCGCAAAAGGAAGCCTGACTCGAAAGTCACTGGAGGGTAATCTTACAGTGGCTTTGTTGATGCGCTTTTCTGCGGGAAAGTCTGATGTGTTGATAGTAATGGCGGGCTGTGATTCTCCAAATTTCTGAAGTTCTTTGGAGGATACTTGTGGGTTGTGTGGTGATTCTTTGTCATCCAGTTCGGACTCATCGGAAGTGCAGACCATGAGTGCATGAGCGTTCTTAAGCACTGGTGCTGTGCCGAATAACGCATAACCGATTTTGGTTTTGAGGGCTACTGGAAATCCGTCTCCGAAGGAAATGATTTCACCGCACAGCAACCTAGGTAGGATATCCACTCCGATGAGGATCCCGGCAGGGGCTGGTACATCGAAAAACTCATCAGCCAATGGTAGGCCTGCCAGGCGCGCTCTAATCGTCGGTGACAGATGCTGGGCTGGAGTTGCGTTGATGATTTTGTCTACAACTGTTACTACATGATTTTTAGCCAGCGTCTTTCCTTTGGCCTTGAGCGTGATGCGAGTTGAGCCCCGTGTTTTCACGGGGTTGTCGGAAACTCCGTTGATGGAAAACAGGTTTGAGTCAATTGGCAGTTGTAAAGTTTTTGCGCATGCTGTGGTCACCAAGGTGGATTGGCAAGCTAAGTCCAGGATTCCTCTTACGTTTATCGAACCTTTGGCTGAGCAGACCTCTACTTGAACCGTGGCGAGCAATGCGAGTGTATCCTCTTGGGACGATGAACTGACCATAGCCACATGCGGTCTTTCCTCGGTCTGCGGTTCAGGATTTTTGGGTGCTAGCCCAGCCGCCCCGTGAAGGTAGACGCTATGTTTTTGATGACAAAGGTGACAATCGAAATTGCGAGGGCACTTACCCAGCTCGTGTTTTGGGCTGAAGCATAGCTGACATAGATGGTGATTCCGGATGGTTTCTAGCCTCTTGTCGGGTGGGTCTCGGAGAAACAGAGGGCAGCGATTGAGCCAATGTTTTTCAGGACAAATGAGGCAACTGGGCGCGCGGTCTTCAGTTTTGGCCTCTGTAGCGGTGACAAAGACACTGTCTGTCTCTTTAGCTTTCTTTTTCTTGCTTGAATTTTCACCACCTGACGTAGTTACCAAAGTTTTTGAGACTTTTTCTGGTGCCGTACCCTCTTTGCGGGAGGTAAAAATGTCGTCAGAAAACATGAGCTCTTTTTCGAGGAAAGCTATGATTTCTGCTAATTTAGGATATGCATTATCGGCTGCCTCGCGGAAATCTTCGAAGCGACGCCACAGTCCAGGTGACAATTTACGGATGAGCACCGCAGTGAGCATGCCGTCATAAGACTCGGACTCGTGGCCTAAGGCTGTGAGAGCTTGAGTGTGCTCCCGAAGCTTGGTGAGGAGAGTATGCACCTGGTTGCTGTTCTTGATCTCGGGTAAATCTAGTAGGCCGGTGAAATGATGAAACACGTGCCGGCGTTCGCTCTGATATCTTTTGCACAGTAGGTTCCATGCAACAGCGTAGTTGGCCGCTGTGATGTCTAGGCCTTTAATCAGGGCGAGAGCATCACCACGGAGACTGCCGATTAGATACTGGAATTTTTCGACCTCTTGTAAATGAGCGGAATCATGAACAGAGGCTTTGAACAGGTTGTAAAAGGTGCGCCAGTTCTCAATTTGTCCAGAGAAATGCGTTAGCTCCAGCTTGGGTAATCGTATCTTGGGCCCAAGCATCTGGGCAGTGGTGTTGATAAGAGTTGAGCTATTACCGGATGCATTTTCATTGGCGACTCTTTTAGCGGAAACTCTTAGGTACATCATCTGAGAGTCACAGAGAATTCTGTTAAATTCAGATTGTAGGGGCAGGAAATCGATTTCATTATCAGGATTTTCAGAGTTAAATTCAATGGCTTGATCGATGAACTCCTCAAATCTGCTACGAAACTTATCAAGCATTTCGTACCGAGGGTATAGTGATTTGACGTTCTCTTCTGTGAGAATTTTCTTGAAATCATCTTTGCTTTCATGGACAAGTTGGATTAGATTTTGAATTTTTGACAGCAAGGTGCTACGATGAAACGTATTAGTCTCTGAACCCGTAGCCATGGCTTATTGTAAAAGAAAGTGATAATTATATTATGAAAACAGTACAAAGCAAGGGGACTGTATTGCCACAGGACCGTTCGCACTCTAGTTGAAATCTAGCAAGATCTCAATCCGGCCCGAGGGACCAAATGGAACGGCGAGGGCCTCAAAAAAAAATCTACCAAAAATAAGGCACAAGCCGATGA